TGTTCAGTTCCGTGAATTGATACCAGCGTTTAAACTTGTTAGTATCGGCATTCGATTGCCGAGTCTCCCATTGGCCTAACCTAACAGAGCGACACTCTGATTGGTCACGTCAGGCCAACGTCACGTGACTTAGATACCGGCCAATCGAGGTTCCGGGGACAACAAACGATCACGTGGGTAATTGTTTCCGGTGTTTGTCCAACTAGGTCAGCGCGCGCAGTCCAGACGAGTTCAGAAGATCTGCTCGTTTTCATGCGCAGGGCAGGGGGTGGGGGGTTGGGGGGGGGGGGGGGGGGGGTTGGGGGGGGGGTTGGGGTGAAGTGAGGATGTGTGGGGTGGTTGGTTGGATGGGGGTTGGGGGGGAGTTGGGTAGGGGTGAAGTGAGGGAGTGGGGTGTGTGGGGTATTTGGAGTGATGGAATTGACCGTGTAATAATAGTTAAGTTCCCTTCCGACCTGGCAAACGACGGCGCAGGTGAAGTAGAGTTCACCCGTCGCTGTGACCTTGGCATTTGAAAGGGTATTGTGGTCAGCACTACGCCCATCCGCCTGCACCTCCCCTAACGTAATTCAACTACCCACCCAAGTTGGGTGCACGGGTGCACTCAAAGATGTGCTGCTACTCTAGCAATGGACCCGAACTCGCGACTTTCGTTCGCACCGGGTGACACCATTTAGTGGGGTGACACCAAGGCAAAAAATAGCAAAATATATAGAGAAAAATGATAATTCCGTTTAATTAAGTGATTATTTCGAGTGTTAAATAGTCTTTTAAGATGTGCGAATCGAAAAGTTGAGGGGGGGGGGGGGGTAAATCGAAAATTGAAAGTTTGTCCCCGGAAGGGTCGCTACGCCTCTGGGGGTGACACCATTAAGTGCCGCACCGGGTGACACCCGACCTCGCTACGCCGCTGCTTGGAACCATCCTTATGCAGATCAGCGTTTTTAGAGGGTTATTAAATGTAACAATAGATAACACAAGTAGCAGTAAAAAAAAAAAGCAACTACATTTATCGGGAATAATTTGTTTGCTTGTGATGGAGTCTGTTTCACCAAAAATTATTTAATTGTCTATAATAAAGTCATTTTCACCATGGGAATTTTGATTGCTGGTGATAAAGTCAGTATCACAAAAAAAAATTGTTTGCTGGTGATAAAATCAGTTTCACTAACAATAATTTGATTGATGGTGATAAAATCAGTTTCACCAAGAATAATTTGATTAGTTGTGATAAAAGTCCCCTTGAGGGTTCGCATCTGTTTTTTAAGGGGGCGTGACCCTAGGGCTCGTTAAATTAACTCACCGCTAATGAACATTTTAACGAGACATTTTAACGACGCCCTGAGGGGCGAAGATCTGTTTGATGGGGGGGGGGGGGGAAATGTCGCAGGGTCTTATGGGTAAACCCGCCTCAATACAGTAGACAGTCATGGTACCATACGGTCATAGGTCGTAGGTCATATACAGGTCATAGTTGTCATATACAGGTCGTAGAGGTCATTTACAGGTCATGGGTGTCATACACAGGTCAATTATGGTACCATAATCATAGGTTGTAGAGGTCATATACAGGTCAATACCCGCACTCATCATCGTTTGTACCTTGTAGGTAAGTACCAATGCCCATCACTCAGTGCAAAGACACATGTAGCTATATGTCTATACTGCACGATTTAACATAATTAATTAGTAAGCCTTTTGTCCTAAGGATTTGACCAAGCCAAAAATCTTTATCCCAAGAATATGTCCACTCCATGACTCTTATCCTGGTGATTTGTCGATGTCAAGATTTCTTGTCCTAAGGAGTTGACCATGTCAAGTTTCTGACCACTAAAACACAGAAAAAGTTAAGACATTTTTTTTTCAAGAACTAGATCTAGACCATATCTAGTTAAGACGGTAAAAGTGTTTAGGTGAGTTGAGATTATATAGCTGACTTGATGAAAACTTGACTTTGTGGTGAGATTATATACTGACTTGGTGAAAACTTGACTTTGTGTTGAGATTATATAGCTGACTTGATGAAAACTTGACTTTGTGGTGAGATTATATAGCTGACTTGATGGAAACTTGACTTTGTGTTGAGATTATACAGCTGACTTGATGAAAACTTGACTTTGGTTAAGTCCATGCAGTTTCTGTTGCTTCCTATTACAGCTAAAGTCAATATCTCTTCTCTCCAATTTTATTTACGACCGTGTTCACCGGTTGGAGCACGCATGCGCAGTTCCAGAGTTTTACATATCCGTTGTCAACATGCGCATCTCCGCGTGAGTGAGAGGAAAATTGAGAGCAGCTGAAATATGGCGATAAGAAATGGACGAGATCAGGAGGTTTTTTTTCTGCTAGTCGTCTCAGACCTTGTATATACAGACACATAAACTGGCAGACAAAATTAGACAGACTAATAAGAATACTCTGTCTTATTAAAGTCTTCTGAAGTATAAGACAGACTATATCTTCTGAGAGTGTAAGACAGAGTATATCTTCTGAAAGTATAATACAGACTATGTCTGTAGAGGGAGGAAGACATGTCCTCTGAATGATCGATATTTTTTCAGGGAGTTGCCTCAGGGGTTTCTGGTTGTCAAATTTTCTCCTCCTCCTCCGGAGACTTAGTCGGTCTGGGGGGGTGGGGGGGGGGGGGGTGATGGAGGGGAGTGGGAAGGGTTGGTTAAGGAGCCGACCTCACTCGTCTTTACTTCCTGATATTTTCGTTTGTACATACTCACGAGGGAGGTTTGAAATTAGATTATATGTGAGTGGATAGTGTTGTTGTGTGTGGGTAGTGTTGTTGCTATGTGTGTGCTTGTGTGTGGGTTGCGCTTTTGTGTGTGGGTAGTGTTGTTGTGTGTGGGTTGTGTTGTTGCTATGTGTGTGCTTGTGTGTGGGTTGCGCTTTTGTGTGTGGGTAGTGTTGTTGTGTGTGGGTTGTGCTTTAGTGTGTGAGTATGGTTTTTGTGTGTGGGTAAGTGCTTTAGGTGTGTGGGTAGTGTTGTTGTGTGGGTTGTGCTTTTGTGTGTGAGTATGGTTTTTGTGTGTGGGTAAGTGCTTTAGGTGTGTGGGTAGTGTTGTTGTGTGGGTTGTGCTTTTGTGTGTGAGTATGGTTTTTGTGTGTGGGTAAGTGCTTTAGGTGTGTGGGTAGTGTTGTTGTGTGGGTTGTGCTTTTGTGTGTGGTTTGTGCTTTAGAGTGTGGGTAGTACTGTTGTGGATGGTGAATACCTTTGGATGTGTGTAATTAATATTTGTTACAAGTTGGTGTCTACTAAGTTTACTAAGTTTATGTGGTTAGACTGTTCGTAAAATGTTTTCCAGCATGTTTGTATGCGGATTGCTACGGTGGTTGATATTACACTTGTATACATAAATTTTATTTTTTCTATTTTTTTCTATTATACTGTTTTCTTTTTTTTTCTTTTTTTACTAAGACTAGTAATTCAAAACAAATCTATTATCTTAGTCTGTGACCGACAAAATAATGTTTTTTTTCACATAACGAGTTCCAGATGTTTCACACGATCTCTGATATATATATATATATATATATATATATATATATATATATATATATATATATATATATATATATATATGAAGACTCTAACCAACACATACATACATGAAAAAACCCACGATAGATATTATCTTTTTCAGCCATTCTATTTTGGTTATGTCCCTTCTACCGATACAGTCGTCTCCCCTTCTACTGTCAATAACACCAGAGCAGCCCAAGGGGGCAGAACTGTTACTGTCAAGCCGTCAAATGATTTGACACCCTTGTTTGGTGGGGGACAAGCCGAGAAGTCACCCGACGTCCATCTGCTATACGAGGGGAGGGGGGTTGGGGAGGAGGAAGAGGAAGATATTCCCCTTCCACTCCTCCACCCCGGAGCACGTCTACCACTCCTCCGGACGAAATAAAAACGTATACATATATAGGTATTACAGACTAACCAGTTTTCGGTCTCCAGAAATTTTAAGTGCGCCCCTCGGAAGTTTCAAAAGCCTCCCCCGGGAGAAAAATGTCTGAAAGAAACTCTGGTGGCAACGCGGAATGCCCAATGTTTCAGTGTGTGATACTATGAATGTGGCGCCAATCACGTAGCTTATTTAAAGTGGCTCGACTTATGTAGCTTCAATTGCGGTCATGTGATTAAATCAGAAGTCACATGACTTGTTTATTTTAAGAGCCAGATCACAAGATCTCAATGTACGGTCACGTGGTTCCATTTCTAAACCACGTGATTCATGTTTTATGAATGAAGAAAAAACAAAAATGGCGATATAATTTGTTTTCACGAGCACAAGATTAAAGTACATCACAATTAGCGGCCAGCATACGTGTGATTATAAGGCGTCCACAATATTGTCCTTAACGTCTTAAAAATGTTCACTTTTTTGTATTAAAAGGATAGCCAAAAATGTCTTTAAAACAAGAGATCTAAATATAGAGTCACGTGAAGCAGGTGCTAAATATAATCACGTGACAAAAAATTCACCTGGTTACGCAGCGGCTTTAGAAGCTAAGAAAAACGATGTCATGGACAAGTGACTTAAATGATTTTATTGTTAATTTGAGGAACCAGGTTTAGTATTACAAATCATTACTTAAGATAGTTATCTGAAAGAATTAATTTCATTATCGTGATTGTCAATCAAATACTTAAATAGTTAAATGAGTAATCATCGGGTAATGAGTTTTTAGAACATCCACAAGCTGAATTTTGTCTGGTCATTAATTATAGATAAAATTCTGTGCAGTCATGGCAAAAATATTGACCAATGCACTTACCAGTCATAGCTACAAAACTGACCAGTCATAGCTACAGTACTGACCAGTCATAGCTACAGTACTGACCAGTCATAGCTACAACACTGACCAGTCATAGCTACAGTACTGACAAGTGAAATAAACACAAGCTGACTAATTATAACCAAAATAATGATAACAGCTTACAATTCAAACAACGCACGCATCTATAAATAGACAAATGTACTCACTCTCCCAGACTCCGTGACGTCATTGCTGGTACTGAGCGGAAGTACGTCAGTGGCCAGGTACCCGTGCAGGGTCTCGTTGAGCTCGGCAGGCGTGCAGGTGATGGAGGGGTCAGGCACCTGCCACCAGTCGACGTCATAGGTGCCCAGGATGATCCACTGGTGCTTGACGCCGTACATAGAGTGTTTGTAGGCCTGTCTTCAATGATACAACGGTACAGTGCATTCACTAAACACTGACAGCTGGCTAAACACTGACATTTGGCTAAATACTGACAGTTGGCTAAATACTGACAGTTGGCTAAACACTGACAGTTGGCTAAACACTGATATTTTGGCTGAATACTGACATTTGGGTAAACACTGACATTTGGCTAAATACTGACATTTGACTAAATACTGACATTTGGCTAAATACTGACATTTGGCTAAATGCTGACATTTGGCTGAATAGTGACATTTGGCTAAACACTGACACTTGGTTAAACACTGACAGTTGGCTAAACACTGACAGTTGGTTAAACACTGACATTTGGCTAAATACTGACAGTTGGCTAAATACTGACAGTTGGCTAAACACTGACAGTTGGCTAAACACTGATATTTTGGCTGAATACTGACATTTGGGTAAACACTGACATTTGGCTAAATACTGAAATTTGACTAAATACTGACATTTGGCTAAATACTGACATTTGGCTAAATGCTGACATTTGGCTGAATAATGACATTTGGCTAAACACTGACATTTGGTTAAATACTGACATTTGGCTAAATGTTGACATTTGGCTTAATACTGACATTTGGCTGAATAATGACATTTGGCTGAATAATGACATTTGGCTGAGAAATGACATTTGTCTGAGTAATGACCCTTGGCTGAATAGTGACATTTGGATAAATACTGACATATGGTTAAATACTGACATTTGTAAAACCAGTTGACTCAGCATATTCACCCACCAATAGTAACGAGCCTAAAGGTTTTGCAAGCTTAAAAACCCACCCGACGTAACAAAGTATAACACAACCCCAAAACCCAGCCGACGTAACAAAGTATAACACAACCCCAAAACCCACCCGACGTAACAAAGTATAACACAACCCCAAAACCCACCCGACGTAACAAAGTATAACACAACCCCAAAACCCACCCGACGTAACAAAGTATAACACAACCCCAAAACCCACCCGACGTAACAAAGTATAACACAACCCCAAAACCCAACCCATGTAACAAAGTATAACACAACCCCAAAACCCACCCCACGTAACAAAGTATAACACAACCCCAAAACCCACCCCATGTAACAAAGTATAACACAACCCCAAAACCCAACCCATGTAACAAAGTATAACACAACCCCAAAACCCACCCCATGTAACAAAGTATAACACAACCCCAAAACCCACCCCATGTAACAAAGTATAACACAACCCCAAAACCCACCCGACGTAACAAAGTATAACACAACCCCAAAACCCACCCCACGTAACAAAGTATAACACAACCCCAAAACCCACCCCATGTAACAAAGTATAACACAACCCCAAAACCCACCCGACGTAACAAAGTATAACACAACCCCAAAACCCACCCCACGTAACAAAGTATAACACAACCCCAAAACCCACCCCATGTAACAAAGTATAACACAACCCCAAAACCCACCCGACGTAACAAAGTATAACACAACCCCAAAACCCACCCCATGTAACAAAGTATAACACAACCCCAAAACCCACCCGACGTAACAAAGTATAACACAACCCCAAAACCCACCCCATGTAACAAAGTATAACACAACCCCAAAACCCACCCCACGTAACAAAGTATAACACAACCCCAAAACCCACCCCATGTAACAAAGTATAACACAACCCCAAAACCCACCCGACGTAACAAAGTATAACACAACCCCAAAACCCACCCGACGTAACAAAGTATAACACAACCCCAAAACCCACCCGACGTAACAAAGTATAACACAACCCCAAAACCCACCCCATGTAACAAAGTATAACACAACCTCAAACCTCCGTTAACATCGTGAGTTATATAATAACTGTACCTCTCCCCCCCCCCCCCCCCCCCCCCGGTGTCAGCTGATCCACAAAGCAGATAAAAAAATTGACGTGTCGCCTTTCATCACTCGAGTTATTCGCTCAGCAGTTTAATTTTTCCAGCAACCCCAGCGATAAATAAAGATCACGTGAGCTACTGGAGCTAAATTTAGACACGCACATTTTTCGTCATAGATTTACGACACATGGGCGGAATAAGGTAATTATATACAAGAAATTAGATGCAATTAGATGCTACAGGAGTTAGGTCCCCTGCAATTAGATGCTACAGGAGTTAGGTCCCCTGCAATTAGATGCTACAAGAGTTAGGTGCCCCTGCAATTAGATGCTACAGGAGTTAGGTCCCCTGCAATTAGATGCTACAGGAGTTAGGTCCCCTGCAATTAGATGCTACAGGAGTTAGGTGCCCCTGCAATTAGATGCTACAGGAGTTAGGTCCCCTGCAATTAGATGCTACAGGAGTTAGGTCCCCTGCAATTAGATGCTACAGGAGTTAGGTCCCCTGCAATTAGATGCTACAGGAGTTAGGTGCCCCTGCAATTAAATGCTGCAGGAGTTAGGTCCCCTGCAATTAGATGCTGAGTTAGGTCCCCTGCAATTAGATGCCGCAGGAGTTAGGTGCCCCTGCAATTAGATGCTACAGGAGTTAGGTCCCCTGCAATTAGATGCTACAGGAAGTTCAAATCTTTACGGCAGGAATTCCCATCTGCCTCGAATACTGCATCTGCTGCACCATCTGGCGGAAATAATCTTTGAGCGGGAAATAATGCTCGCCTCATCTAACTGCTAATTGATCATATTTTCCAAGCAAGTGATTAGTTAGTGGTAAAAGTCCCCTCCCCTTTGATAGAAAGCAAATGACACCAAACAGGAAGTTTCTCTGTAATTACCCCGCCCCTACAAACCCAAAGAGTTATTATTAAAAGTGTAAAATTTTCTGACCTTGCTAGGCTCAGTAGAGATGGACGATTTAGTGGCAAGTTTCATGTAAGATATTTAATGACGAGTTTCGTGTGAGATATTTAGAAACAAAAACAGCACAATAGAACATCCCTATAAAGACTGACCTGTTCTTAAATCACGGCCTGCCATTTTCTCGACCCCAAGTTTGGTATTTATTTCTAAGCTTGATTCTAAATTAATGAGATGTCTGGACTTGCAACTAGATACAGACAACAGTGGAACTACGTCTGGCACCAGCATTTACATATATAAAAGAGAGACTAGCATTTACCTGTTGTAAAGGGAGACTAGCTTCACCAACTTTAAAGGGAGACTAGCTTCACCAACTTTAAAGGGAGACAAAGTTTCACCCACTGTAAAGGGAGACTAGCTTCACCAACTTTAAAGGGAGACTAGCTTTCACCAAATTTAAAGGGAGACTAACTTTCACCCACTGTAAAGGGAGACTAGCTTCACCAACTTTAGAGGGAGACTAGCTTCACCCACTGTAAAGGGAAACTAGCATTTACCTGTTGTAAAGGGAGACTAGCTTTCACACACTGTAAAGGGAGACTAGCTTTCACCTACTGTAAAGGGAGACTAGCTTTCACCCACTTTAAAGGGAGATTAGCTTTCACCTACTGTAAAGGGGGACTAGCTTTCACCCACTTTAAAGGGAGACTAGCTTTCACCCACTTTAAAGGAAGACTAGCTTTCACCCACTGTAAAGGGAGACTAGCTTTCATCTACTGTAAAGGGAGACTAGCTTTCACCAAATTTAAAGGGAGACTAGCTTTCACCCACTGTAAAGGTAGATTAGCTTTCACCTACTGTAAAGGGAGACTAGCTTCACCAACTTAAAGGGGAGACTAGCTGTCACCAAATTTAAAGGGAGATTAGTTTTCACCCACTGTAAAGGAAGACTAGCTTTCACCTACTGTAAAGGGAGACTAGCTTTCACCAAATTTAAGGGGAGACTAGCTTTCACCTACTGTAAAGGGAGACTAGCTTTCACCCACTGTAAAGGGAGATTAGCTGTCACCCACTGTAAAGGGAGACTAGCTTTCACCTACTGTAAAGGGAGACTAGCTTTCACCTACTGTAAAGGGAGACTAGCTTTCATCCACTGTAAAGGGAGACTAGCTTTCACCTACTGTAAAGGGAGATTAGCTTTCACCCACTGTAAAGGGAGACTAGCTTTCACCTACTGTAAAGGGAGACTAGCTTTCACCTACTGTAAAGGGAGACTAGCTTTCACCCACTGTAAAGGGAGACTAGCTTTCACCTACTGTAAAGGGAGACTAGCTTTCACCCACTGTAAAGGGAGACTAGCTTCACCAACTTTAAAGGGAGACTAGCTTTCACCTACTGTAAAGGGAGACTAGCTTTCACCTACTGTATAAGATAAACTGTGGGTGAGCTCGATAAACTGTATGTTACTCACGCTGCAGAAAACTTTCCTCGCCGCGTTCTGGTCAAAGTTTCCAACGATGATACGTACATCCTGGTCCTGGAACAGATTTGAGATGTCAACATCACATCACATGAACATCACATGAACATCACACCAACATCACATCACATGAACATCACATGAACATCACACCAACATCACATACCTTTACATCAGCATCATATTAACATCACACCAACATCATATCACACCAACATCACATCAACATCACAATAACATCACATTAACATCATATCAACATCATACCAACAACATCACACTAATATAATACCAATATCATACCAACGTATCTCTCGATCTTAGTTGTAAATTAACTTTGTGTTCTTTTTGGTATTTATCTGTGTGTGTTTCTTTGGATTGTAAACCTACAGGTCAACTTCTGTAAATGTAATGTTACATGTACACCCGTGACCCATGACCTGTGACCTGTAACTTAAGAGCATTTCTGTTTGCATCTCGACTGACCTTTAAATTTTTGATGGCCGTTTTTGGATCGTCTGCAAAACTTTCCACCAATGAGATGTTGATCTTGTGTTTCTCCACCAAGCTGTCGAATCTGTTGGAGGCCTGCCGATGTTAGGAGACGGTCAGATGGGGCATATAGGGCATATAGGGCATATAGATGGTCAGCGGGACACTAAGATGGTCATTGGAGCATAGGGGCACATTGATGGTCGGTGGAGCATGGGGGATATTGTGAGACGTAAAGAAAGTCAGTGGGATATAGGGGCATTACAAAAGCCAGTGGGCATAATGGCATATTGACAGACCTTTTACGGAGGAGCATGTCTGATTTTAAAAGAAAGAGGGGCAGTGTGTGACAGCTTTTTTAATACGCTATTCTTGTTAAATAATGGCAAGAGAAAAAACAATGAAACAACCCTGCTAACTCTACGAGAACAGTATTCAGAGTTTGACCGTGACACGCTCTGATTTAAATACTTGAAGGTTAATTCACCTCTCAGCACACCACACCATACAGAAAAAAATGAGTCGGTAGGGTTAATCCGTCTCTACACACCAGACCTATCTCAAGCAGACGACTACTCTATGTGTGACGTCATCAGCAGAACATTCAGAGTTGACTTATTATCAGCTGAACGTCCCCAACTCCACTAAACACACAGCCCAAATTCAATTAATATCCTACCAAAAAAAAAAACAATGGATCGGGACGATAAATTATCACTTCCTGAAATCTGGAACTCAATCAGTTCCGGCCTTCACGTAGCCAGTCACGCGTGACCTTGGGATTTGTAACGATTTTCTGTTCCTCGCTCATACAATTATGACATATGGGACTTTTGACCCCGGCCACGTGGGGAATTGGGATTGGTCTAGAGTAGGGTGTAACTATAAATAGAATGGTCACATACAAGGGCCAAGACATCATATATATATATATATATATATATATATATATATATATATATATATATATATATATATATATATATATATATTCCCACCAAATAATAAACATACCAAATCCCTTCAAAAACCACCCCAAATCCCACAAAAATAAACCCACCCCAAATTCCACCAAAATAAACCCACCCCAAGTCCCACCAAAATAAAATCACCCACAATCCCACCAAAATTTAATCACCCACAATCCCACCAAAATAAACCCACCCCAAATTCCACCAAAATAAACCGCCCCAAATCCCACCAAAATAAACCGCCCCAAATCCCACCAAAATAAAATCACCCACAATCCCACCAAAATAAACCCACCCCAAATACCACCAAAATAAAATCACCCACAATCCCACCAAAATTTAATCACCCACAATCCCACCAAAATAAACCCACCCCAAATCCCACCAAAATAAACCGCCCCAAATCCCACCAAAATAAACCGCCCCAAATCCCACCAAAATAAACCCACCCCAAATACCACCAAAATAAACCCACCCCAAATCTAACCAAAAAAACCCACCCTCCCAAATCCCACCAAAAAACAACCCACCCCAAATCCAACCAGAAAAACCCACCCTCCCAAATCCCACCAAAATCAACCCACCCCTAATCCCACCTAAATAAACCTACCCCAAATCCCACCAACCCCCCCCCCCAATCTAACCAAAATAAACCCACACATATCCCACCAACATAAACCCACCCCAAATCCCACCAAAATCAACCCACCCCAATCCCACCCATAAAGACTCACGTAGCCATGCCTAGCCTCGCCCAGTTTGGCGTCCTGGAAGAGCGTGCCGACCGTCGTCCAGTTGAAGTGACGTAACAGTGCCAGACGGGCGGGGTTGAAGTCACTGTCGCTGGGCACCGTCCGGTAGAAGTTGGGGAACTCATCCCTGTCCGACAGCATGGGGTTCGTGTCGGCGTAGGACAGCTGAGGGAAGACAACTCTAGCAGTCAGTAGAGGGAGATCACTCTCTTATTGGACATTAATGGCTGCCCAACCATCTCAGGGAAGGGGAGGTTACTCTCATGGGAAATAATTGAGTGAACATGTACCCAACTGCCGAAAATTACCAGGAACATGTTCCCAACTGCCGAACATTACCAGGAACATGTTCCTAACTGTTGAACATTATCAGGAACATGTTCCCAGCAGTCGTGAGCCCTATTGACAGACCACTGTTAAAATCAGGCAACATGTCAATATCTAGTGGCTTTAGCCTTTTGTTGGTTAACTACTGACAGACCACTGTTAAAATCAGGCAACATATCAATATCTAGTGGCTTTAGCCGTCTAACTACTGACAGACTGTAAGCCTTGGAAAACATTAAAATTTGCCATACAAAAAATGTTTATTTTTATTTTTATTTTATTTTGCCTCAGACATGTAATTTACAGCGTCAGTTTGCCTTGTATGCAGAGGCGTAGCGAAGGGGAGGCAGGGGGGTACATATGTCCCCGGGCGCCAACCCTAGGGGGCGCCAAAATGGGGTGAAAAAAAAATAAAAGCTCATTTTAGCTGCAGTTTTGCATTATAAATATAAAAATATATGGGGGGGGGGGAGCGCCAAATTGAAAGTTTGTCCCCGGGCGCCGGGAAGGGTCGCTACGCCTCTGCTTGCATGTTCGCTTTAGTATTACAGTTTTCACCATCGGCTTGTGAGGACTGATACAGATTTACAATAGTAATACTTCTTTCTTAGTTGTAGCCTACTTTCATTCATAGTGTTGCTGTGTAACTAAGATAATGTTCTTGTATTTCATAGTCTGTATCTTCCTTATTGAAGAGGTTTTGATAGTATAAAGTAAACTGACGTTTTATAATTTCCAGGCCATTTGTTTAGTCCCGTTGTCATCTGTTATGCTACAATTACAGGGGTCGGCAACCTTTTGAGACGGAAGAACCAAAAGTTAAAATTTTGACTATTTCCCAGTTTTTAAAGAGCCACTGACATTTTTATTTCAATATTTCATTATTTTATTAGGATTAGGTAAATAAATTTGGTTTGTTATTTAAAATAAATATCTTTAAATATGAAATAATATTTATTCATATAAAAAAACATACACATGTTTCGCCAGAAAATGTAATTAACAATAAAAAAAATAGGACTATCCCAATCCTCTTTTTTACGGATAACACCGGCTCAGGGGGCAGAGGCATAGCGACCCTACCCGGCGCCCGGGGACAAACTTTTCGATTTGCACCCACCACCCCCTCAAACTTTCGATTTGCACCCCCCGCCCCTCAAGATTTCGATTTGCACCCCCCCTCAAACTTTTGATTTCCACCCCCCTCAACCTTTCAATTTATTTTTCCAACCCATTTTGGCACCCGGGACATATGTCCCCCCCCCCCACACCCCCCCCCCACCCCCCTCAGGAGGTGTCTCCCATTAGCAGGCAGGCCTGAACACGGCAAACGCCGACTAACTGGCTTTGATATCGGCTTGATTACAATGTATCGGTCCCTTCTGTCCTTTGGTTCTCTCCAGGCTTATCTTCCACCCCACAGAGCCCAGGGTAGGCTCGTACCCCACCGTCCTGTACCCGGCTCAACCGTAGGAAGCTAATAATAACTACGTCACTCACGCCAAATTAATGATTACTGACGGATAGGGAAATGCATTCTAAATTAACATTCCCAATTAACGATATTCGAAAAAGTCGGCACTTGGGCAGTGGCAAGCATGGAATTGTTGTCACAGGGCTAAGTGTTTTTATCCTGTTTAAACTTGTGTATCCTTACAGTATAATTTTTGTTATGAGTTTTGAAAATTAAATAAACTAATTATTAATGTTTGTGCAAGGAGCTGGAGGGCCGCACCGTGACACCAAAGGAGCCGCATGCAGCTCGCGAGCCTCAGGTTGCCCCGACCCCTGTGCTACATATTTGTTTCTTTTTTTTTCTTTTTTTTTTTTTTTTTGCAATGTATTTTTTTTTTTGTATTTATCTGATTTTATTTCAATTCTTTAGGTAATTTTTTTTTTTTTTTTTTTTGGCGTTTAATAGATTTCCTTACTTACTGTCTACCCTGCTCGCGCAGGGAGGCAGTAAGAGAAGGTTGCATGAATATATACATGAAATATTAAAATAGTTCAATACATGGCATTGCATTCAATTATATATAAGCGTTTACAAAACGTCTAAGATACCTATTTTTTCTTATGGTGTACACTTGTATGTGCCTTCATGCTCTCTAGTGGGAGGGATAAGTTACAATCTCTACAGTCATACATCGTTTCTTCTTGATGGTTTTCTGCATAGTGTGTGCGTATGTCTTGGTAGTACCCTTTGTCTGCACAAAGATCACACTGTAAGTATCTGTAGTGGATACTTCGTGCTTTTCCCTTTCCCGGGGTGATTTACATTGTTCTAAGCAGAACCTGCAGTGATTGAAGTCATGAATACATTTTTTACTTTTTGTTTTTTTCTTTTCTTCTGTAGGACTATCTTCCTTCTTCCTTTTGAAAGTTGTAGTAATGTCCATATCTGAGAACAAGAGCAGAGTGTTCGTTTTTAGGGCTGTTGATGCAGATGGCTTGTCTGATTCCGACCTTGCTGCGCATGTTTGTTTGCTTGGTGTTGTTGGCGACTTGGCTGGGATGATCGGGTTTTTGACCGGTGCTTGTTGGTTGCTTGGTGATGGTGCTGGCTGGGCGGATGGCGTTTCTTGTTGGCTACTTGTTGTTGGAGGTGGCTTGGCTAATGGTGCTGCTTGTTGGCTGTTCGGTGTTGGTTCTGGCTGGGTGGGTGACGTTGTTTTTTGTAGTGTAGATTGTGCTGGTGTTTGATTACTGGGCGTTGTTTGTAAGTTGAGAGTTTGACAGCGGTTGGTCCAGTGTTCAGTTGACGAGCATGTTTGGCAGGCTTGTTTTCTGTCTTTGATGGCTATTAGAATGTTGAGTGTCTTGTTTTTGTAGTTTATTTGGATGTAGTGAGGGATGGACGATGGGTTGTCAGTGTATATTGAGAAGTTGCGGTTGGTAGTGAGGGGGATTGTGTATATAGAGGGTTCCTTGCTGCTGTAGGGTTGTAGTGCTTGTATGAGTGTGCGATCGCTTAGTGTGGGTGGGACCCATCTAAGGGTTCCGTTGATCCTGTTCTTTTCGTGTAGAGTGAAGTAGAGTGTGTAGGGGCCGTGTGTTTTGTGTGTATTATGTAAGATGGTGACGTCGAAGGCAGTTGATGTAAAGAACCATGTATCTGCTCGTCCGTAATTGAAGAGGAAGATCTGTTGGTTGCTTATTAGTTGCCGGAGGATATGCCCTCTCAGATTGGGTTGACCATTTGAGTTGCTTGTGACTTGAATGGTGGGTGAGTCAGCAGGAAATAGTTCCGGGCAGTCTTCTTCAGGTAGGTCCAATATGGCTGTAGTAGCTGAAAAGGGTTGGGCCCTGGATTTCATTAAACCCCCCGGACCGTAGTCCGGGTGGCTCCTCCCCAAGTCTCTCGACCCAGGGGGAACATCCAAGGGCGCAACCCCTTTGCTGGCGTGGATTATATTTGCATATGTCATCAGGCTAGGTTGTGACATTGTTGGATGCGTAAAGGTTATCACTTGATCTTAGCTCAGTTCGTATATAGTATATACGAGAAGGTAAAAACAATATGCATCTGTACGTTATATTCTTTAGGTAATGTATTTATGTATTCTCTTTAGATCCCAACAAAAATAATATAAGTTGAAGAACAGTGGCATCTATGTAGAATTGAGAATGTAAAATATTTATCGTGCCTTTATAGTTAAGCTTCCGACTAAAAATAATTATTTATACATCTGTGCATAATAAATGGAATAAAATAGCTTGTAACCTTCAAATCTTTAAAGTTTAATATTATATCTATATTGATATATTTTTTAACTGCGTTTCTCTCTTTTTTTAAACAACCTTTTGGAATATGGTTTTGATAGCTTCCCTTCGTTATTTGGATTCCTTAAACGGGAAGTAACAAAAATAATATTCAATGTAGTTATTTTTAAAATTGCTTTGTGCATAACTTTGAAATCCGTTATTATAAAGAGTATTGCATATTAAAGTAAATATAAATATATAATTTGAAAATTGTTCGTTAGTTTTATTTTTTTTTTCTGGCTACCATTTTAAACTTTTCTAGCCTCCATTAGTACTAGTCCGAGCCCCATCTAGCGGAGAGCCTTCCATTGACATTGCTTCTTTTTGACTTATTCTGGAAACTGTTGCATTGAAATTCTAAACAAAATAATATGTTCCATTGGTGCATTCTAAATGACATTTTACCTGGAACAAGTTCCACTGATGACATGACATTTTACCTGGAACAAGTTCCACTGATGACATGACATTTTACCTGGAACAAGTTCCACTGATGACATGACATTTTACATGGAACATGTTCCACTGATGACATGACATTTTACATGGAACATGTTCCACTGATGAGATTTTACCCTGGAACATGTTCCACTGATGACATTTTACCTGGAACATGTTCCACTGATGACATTTTACCTGGAACAAGTTCCACTGATGACATTTTACCTGGAACATGTTCCACTGATGACATGATATTTTATCTGGAACATGTTCCACTGATGTATTCTACCTGACATTTTACCTGCAACATGGTCTACTGATGACATGGCATTTTACCTGGAACATGTTCCACTGATGACATGACATTTTACCTGGAACATGTTCCACTGATGACATGACATTTTACCTGGAACATGTTCCACTGATGAGATTTTACCTGGAACATGTTCCACTGATGGGATACATGACATTTTACCTGGAACATGTTCCACTGATGACATTTTACCTGGAACATGTTCCACTGGTGACATTTTACCTGGAACATGTTCCACTGATGACATTTTACCTGGAACATGTTCCACTGATGGGATACATGACATCTTACCTGGAACATGTTCCACTGATGACATGACATTTTACCTGGAACATGTTCCACTGACGACATGAGATTTTACCCTGGAACATGTTCCACTGATGGGATACATGACATTTTACCTGGAACATGTTCCACTGATGACATTTTACCTGGAACATGTTCCACTGATGATATTTTACCTGGAACATGTTCCATTGATGACATTTTACCTGGAACATGTTCCACTGATGATATTTTACCTGGAACATGTTCCACTGATGAGATTTTACCTGGAACATGTTCCACTGATAGGATACAAGACATTTTACCTGGAACATGTTCCACTGATGACATTTTACCTGGAACATGTTCCACTGATGACATGAGATTTTACCTGGAACATGTTCCACTGATGACATTTTACCTGGAACATGTTCCACTGATGGGATACATGACATCTTACCTGGAACATGTTCCACTGATGGGATACATGACATTTTACCTGGAACATGTTCCACTGATGACATTTTACCTGGAACATGTTCCACTGATGATATTTTACCTGGAACATGTTCCACTGATGAGATTTTACCTGGAACATGTTCCACTGATGGGATACATGACATTTTACCTGGAACATGTTCCACTGATGACATGACATTTTACCTGGAACATGTTCCACTGATGACATGACATTTTACCTGGAACATGTTCCACTGATGATATTTTACCTGGAACATGTTCCACTGATGATATTTTACCTGGAACATGTTCCACTGATAACATGACATTTTACCTGGAACATGTTCCACTGATGATATTTTACCTGGAACATGTTCCACTGATGACATGACATTTTACCTGGAACATGTTCCACTGATGATATTTTACCTGGAACATGTTCCACTGATAACATGACATTTTACCTGGAACATGTTCCAGTGATGACATTTTACCTGGAACATGTTCCACTGATGATATTTTACCTGGAACATGTTCCACTGATGACATTTTACCTGGAACATGTTCCACTGATGACATTTTACCTGGAACATGTTCCACTGATGACATGAGATTTTACCTGGAACATGTTCCACTGATGACATTTTACCTGGAACATGTTCCACTGATGACATTTTACCTGGAACATGTTCCACTGATGAGATTTTACCTGGAACATGTTCCACTGATGACATTTTACCTGGAACATGTTCCACTGATGACATTTTACCTGGAACATGTTCCACTGATGACATTTTACCTGGAACATGTTCCACTGATGACATTTTACCTGGAACATGTTCCACTGATGACATTTTACCTGGAACATGTTCCACTGATAACATTTTAACTGGAACATGTTCCACTGATGACATGACATTTTACCTGGAACATGTTCCACTGATGACATTTTACCTGGAACATGTTCCACGGATGACATTTTACCTGGAACATGTTCCACTGATGATATTTTACCTGGAACATGTTCCACTGATGACATTTTACCTGGAACATGTTCCACTGATGAGATTTTACCTGGAACATGTTCCACTGATGAGATTTTACCTGGAACATGTTCCACTGATGGAATACATGACATTTTACCTGGAACATGTTCCACTGATGCGCTATTTGGACGATGGGCCCTGTGACGTTGTAGCATGCGTCACCAAACAACATGGCCGTCACGGTCCGGCTGTCAGCCATCATGTCAAAAAACGCTCGTGTCGCCACTGCCATGTCACACTGGGGACACAAACATAAAACATCATCAAATACACGAACATCATTAGACATAATACAGTATCAAATACATGAACATCTTTAGACATAAAACATTATCAAATACATGAACATCATTCTTCATAAAACATCATCAAATACACGAACATCATTCGTCGTAAAACACCATCAAATACATGAACATCTGTAGACATTAAACATCATCAAATACATGAACATCATTCTTCATAAAACATCATCAAATACATGAACATCATTAGACATAAAACATCATCAAATACAAGAACATCATTAGACATAAACATCATCAAATACATGAACATCATTCGTCATAAAACATCATCAAATACATGAACATCATTAGACATAAAACATCATCAACTACAAGAACATCATTAGACATAAACATCATCAACTACAAGAACATCATTAGACATAAAACATCATCAACTACATGAACATCATTAGACATAAAACATCATCAAAATCAAGAACATCATTAGACATAAAACATCATCAAATACATGAACATCATTAGACATAAAACATCATCAAATACCTGAGCATCTTTAGTCATAAAACATTTTCAAATACAAGAACATCTTTAGTCATAAAACATCTTTATATATAAGAACATCTTTAAACATAAAAATATCTTTAAACATAAATCATCATTTATGACTAAAGATGTTGTATCTTGAGTGTGCTAATGATTTATTGTATTTTGATATGCTAATGATGTATTGTATCTTGATGTGCTAGTGATGTGTCGTATCTTGATTGTGACGTTGATGTGTTGTATTTTGATTCCCCATGTGTTTGTTCGAACGTTTTATCAATACGAGCTGTGCAAATTACAGGCAAGCTTCAAAACAGCTGAAATGCTTGGCCAAGTTCTGAGATAGATGAATTGATTGGCCCTACACAGGCTGGCCATGTTTGGCCAATTTGCTCAACACAGCTGGTGCTCTCTGCGCATGCGCAATCAGCCTCAAGTTGAACGGCGGGGTGGGGGTGATGGTGAGGGGGGGGGAGGGGGGGGGGGGTTAAGTTAGCCTATATGACATTTTTCTATATCTGGTTCACAAGATTGACCAATATTTCAGAAAAAATTCTAGCTGTGTAAAACAGGCAGGCAGATTGACACATACAATGATCACTCCGTCAAAGAACACGATAAATGCCACTTAAAGTAAACACGCTAAATGTCAAATAACCGACTGTTATAAACACGCTAAATGTCGCATAACAGACTGTTATAAACACGCTAAATGTCACATAACAGACTGTTATAAACACGCTAAATGTCACATAACAGACTGTTATAAACACGCTAAATGCCAAATGATAGACTGTTATAAACACGCTAAATGTCACAGAAAGCAAACCGGGTAAATGTCACAGAAAGCAATACTCTAAATGTCTTATAAAAAAGTTGCTAAATGTCACAGAACGATCACGCCAAATGCCACACAAAGAACACGCTCAACGTGACAAAAATAACGATTAGAACTAAATGTCATATAATACTTTCTAAATGCCAGCTAAAGCCTATACATAAACACCCGGTGATGTCACCATCATGTCATTTAACAAACACACACACACGATTTTATATCACTTGACCCAGATTCCCAACAAAGTCATATGAGTTATAATTTAACTCAACAGTATTTTCAAAGCTCGCTTAAAATAAAATTAAAAACAATGATCTAGAAATAGAGCTTCGGGCTAAAGATAATTCGACACCCTGAAAAGAGATGGTAATACTAAATAGAAGACTGTGACAATTAGAATTACTCCATCATGTCTCTGCTCACTACAGTGAAGCTTTTGTTCGACAGACAATTATTTCTTCTTGAGTTGCTTCGCTTTACACCAACCCAGCAGTGGGGATAAAATATTCGTTTGAAGAGTTATCACCCTTACACCAACCCAGCAGTGGGGATAAAATATTCGTTTGAAGAGTTATCACCCTTACACCAACCCAGCAGTGGGGATAAAATATTCGTTTGAAAAGTTATTTCCCTTTCACCAACCCAGCAGTGGGGATAAAATATTCGTTTGAAGAGTTGTTTCCCTTACACCAACCCAGCAGTGGGGATAAAATATTCGTTTGAAGAGTTATCACCCTTACACCAACCCAGCAGTGGGGATAAATATTCGTTTGAAGAGCTATCTCCCTTACACCAACCCAGCAGTGGGGATAAAATATTCGTTTGAAAAGTTATCACCCTTACACCAACCCAGCAGTGGGGATAAAATATTCGTTTGAAAAGTTATCACCCTTACACCAACCCAGCAGTGGGGATAAAATATTCGTTTGAAAAGTTATCACCCTTACACCAACCCAGCAGTGGGGATAAAATATTCGTTTGAAGAGCTATCTCCCTTACACCAACCCAGCAGCGGGGATAAAATATTCGTTTGAAGAGTTGTTTCCCTTACACCAACCCAGCAGTGGGGATAAAATATTCGTTTGAAGAGCTATCTCCCTTACACCACCCCAGCAGTGGGGATAAAATATTCGTTTGAAGAGTTATTTCCCTTTCAATCCACTCCCAGCACTGACACCGGAGTTAATTTAATTGCCGTAGAATCAAGCTTAAATAAATGATAGAAAAACAAAAGGTTAATCCAGTTACCCAGCTGAAGGAAACTGTACAAAAAAATCACCGAAACGCGTGGCAGTGTTTACGCAAGGAACAAAAAAAGTCTTGCGTTGGAAGACATTTTGTCGTGGGCGTATCCATGTGAGGGTTTGTTTTGTGTCAGGGTGTCAGGGGTGGGCTGACACATCGTGATTGGGTTAGCAGGTTGGATGCTGGATTCGATATGTCAAACTTAAGGGAGGGGGGATCGGTGCATTTAGGTGCATTGGGTAATTGGGTTAGGGTGAATAGAACCCTTGTGAAATATATGACTTCGTATCATAGTATTTAATAATGAAAGCAATGCTCATTGGGGGGGGGGACGAAATGTAAAAAAATGAATATGAAAATGAAATAAAAGCATTTCATAGTCACTGCTTATTGTTAGTGTGCATTAGAATTAGGCACACTCTACTTTGGCTTATTCTACTGATACCAAATTGTATAGCGAATTCTTTTTCTCAAGCAATTAGAGTAGCGTCCCTTGAGTATTTTGTTTTCCAAAATGTTATTTGGTTGGAATACAATGCCATTTGGAATTAAAAATGTCAAATGTAGTTTTTGTTGAAAATAGAGTGATTTAAGTTAGACAATAGTAATTCTCAGAGGTCTCGTATTTTTAGCAATGTTTTAAGTAGCTAGTGTTAGCCCTAACAATACATCTACAATGCTGTCTGTCTTTTATTAAAAGGTTTCAGAAATGTTGAATTAAAATTTTTATTAATTTGGTTTCAAAGTAATTGTTGGTTTTATTCATGATGTCCTGGAGAGAGGGGGGGGGGCTCTTGGATGGTCACACATACATTTCTAGACAATGTGCTATTGACATGGACACAATTCTAGACAATTTGCTATTGGCATAGACACAATTCTAGACAATTTGCTATTGGCATAGACACAATTCTAGACAATTTGCTATTGGCATAGACACAATTCTAGACAATTTGCTATTGGCATAGACACAATTCTAGACAATTTGCTATTGACATAGATACAATTCTAGACAATTTGCTATTGGCATAGATACAATTCTAGACAAACTGCATCTGATGTAGACACAATTCTAGACAATTTGCTATTGACATAGATACAATTCTAGACAAACTGCATCTGATGTAGACACAATTCTAGACATCTGAAAAATACACATGACCAGTACTGGCGGCTGTCACATGACCAGTACTGGCGGCTGTCACATGACCAGTACTGGCGGCTGTCACATGACCAGTACTGACGGCTGTCACATGACCAGTACTGGTGGCTGTCACATGACCAGTACTGGCGGCTGTCACATGACCAGTACTGGAGGCTGTCACATGACCAGTACTGGCGGCTGTCACATGACCAGTACTGGCGGCTGTCACATGACCAGTACTGGAGGCTGTCACATGACCAGTACTGGCGGCTGTCACATGACCAGTACGGGCGGCTGTTGCTAGAAAACGCTCTAGGTGTCGCCAGTGTCTGTGTTGTTGCCTAGGCAACCGAGCTCCCCTAATTAAATTAGATATGTCGCCTAATTGCTGAACCTGCACGCGACAGACGGGGTAACCCAATCAAGAACATTTCTTCTTGTCACGTGTCAGCCGTGCTGCGTGTAAATAAAAAACCCGCGAGACAGACGTGTGTGGGGGAGGGGGTGGGGTGGGGTGGGGGGGGGGGGTAAAGGGGTGGCTGAGATAGCTCTAGTAGGGCATTGAAGTAGAGGTGGGTGTAATTGATCGGGGAGTGAAGTATACATACATACATACATACATACATATATATATATATATATATATATATATATATATATATATATATATATATATATATATATATATATATGTAGTGAGACGTCCAGCAGGCGTATAGCAGACGACTCCCCGCTGTATGTAACGCGTGTCTAATAAATTTAACACTTAGCAGATGTTTGGTGAGTGGACATGATCGGACGTGTGGCCGGCAGCTGGGAGCTGAGTCAGGTCACATAAAGAGGTTGATTAAGGTTAAACAGGTCATTCATCCATGTCACATTGTGCACTGACCCGTGTTACCCTAATGGGTCACGCTGTGCACTGACCCAGGTTACACTGTGCACCCACCAAAGTCACACTGGGCAGTAACACAAGACATTCTTGACAATGACGCGTGCACTAACCCAGGTCATTAACCCAGGTCATTAACCCAGGTCACTAACCCAGGTCACTAACCCAGGTCACTAACCTAGGTCACTAACCCAGGTCATTAACCCAGGTCATTAACCCAGGTCATTAACCCAGGTCACTAACCCAGGTCACTAACCTAGGTCAATAACCCAGGTCATTAACCCAGGTCACTAACCTAGGTCAATAACCCTTGTCACTAACCCAG